AATAAAAAATTGTTTCACGAGAATCAAACTGGAATTTTTAATTAAATCCCTGAAGTCCCTGAGATTGATGTTTTCGATGGCAAAAATATTTCCGTCTCAATATCTCCTCTTACAGTCCTGATTTTTTAAAAAATCTTGGGTATCCATAAAAAATCCTATAAAAAAGGGAAAAACATGTACCCGTCCCCAGTGAGCACTGGGAACTGGAATTCTAAAATCTCGTCTGCAACAAAAACGACACGTGTATATAATTGAGGAACATTTCCAAGACGCGTAACACCTCGATTTAACCCATACGATGGTAAAAATATTCCCCCCATATTTATTGAAAAGAATCCGTGTGAAGCAATGAGCGACGGCGCGTACTGATGTGTCCGCACTGCATTCCAGAGAATCTGTCACAAGTCCGGGTATAAATATGTCGAAATTCGAGATCCCCACGACAGACACGATAGATGGAATCTGGCCATTTCTCCAGAGTGTAAGTTCCAACATCACCTAAACCATTTAATATTCCCGACATCAACATTCGTTGGAGAATACCTTAGAGGTTATGTCGCCAGATAACATTTGTTTTCGTGGAGAACACGAGTGATTTAAATCCCCCAGTGATGATTCCAAGCGCGTTATGATTCAAAGTGATAAAGTCAGCTGTTCCCAAAATTTTGAGCTCTTCATTATGATTACATCGTGCGATGATACCGTCGCCTCTTCCTCAGGTATTCGAATGGTTTGTGCACCCGGTGGAACATCTGGTGGGAAATCTATTGTTCATCGTGACTCGAGTAGATTCTGAATTTTTTTTAGGGAATACGCAAGATTTCAGGGATTTTGGAATAGTTATTGTTTTTTTTTAATAAAAATGGGCTTTTTTGCAGATTGAGTGGAGAGATCCGTGGCTTGCTCTTCTCCTGATTTTTCATGTAGCGGTTACCATGACTGCCTTGATGACACGAAATCACGCCAACTTCCAAATATTGTTATTCCTCGTTTTACGTGAGTGATATCCAATGTTGTGAAATAATGTCAAATAGTCTGATGTTATCATAATGCTTTGGTTTTTAGTATTACTTGTGTACTTCTCCGAGAGTATCAATGAAGTGGCTGCGAGTAATTGGAGGTGATTATAATGTTTACTTTTGGTTTTCAATGAGTCATTCATAACTACTTTTATTTTTCTCATTGCAGGGTCTTCTCCAGGCAGCAGTATTTTGATTCTAAGGGATTATTTATATCCATCGTATTTTCTGTGCCGATATTGATGAATTGTATGATTATGGTGGTGAGTTCCAGAGGTTTATTATTTTCCTCGGACGATAAAAATTCAATTTTCATCGTAAATCGTAGATCATCATTTTTTTTTCTACCTCGCTATTTGTGGAGCAGCTAAAAACTTCGGGTCATTAATACTAATGAGGTGTAATAACATTTTTAACGCATTTGTGACTTTGATGGTGATTAATCTGATACTGGAACTATTTAATTGATTATTTTTTAGCTGTCATTTAATTAAATTCAGTAATTAAGACGTGAAGGCATTTATATTACTGAATAATTGTGGAAGTAATCAGCTTTAAATTTGTCTGGAAAATTTCAGGACATTAAGATTACGCAATGATTTTTATTATTTTGTAGGCAAGCTGGCTTTATCAGTCCAGTCAATTAATGACCAGTCTAAAGCGAGCGCAATTGCGCCAGCAGGCGAAAAATCGACAGGAAGGTGACACAACACAGAAACTCAAGTCCAAGGCAGAGTGAAAAATAATCATTGAAAAATCTAGTCATGTTCATTTACGAGGATAACAATTTTTACGATTAAGTGTTAAATATTAACGTAAGTTTTGAGATAACGATTGTTTCGATGGAATTTTGAGCGTTAATTCTCGTAGGACTCCAGCTGGACGAGTTCAGAAGAATTGCCCATTTTTTTCCCCCCCTTTTTTGAAACGAGGAGAGAAAGAAGGGATTGGTAGATGAGAAAAAACTATGTGACTTATTAATTATTAATCGATCGGCTCTATTAGATTGTATATCACGTTTGTACATTTTTTAAAAAGCAAAACACTGCAAAATATTTGTATGATAATCAAAATGTCGAGATCGCATGATGCCGATTGGTAAAAATCTCTTGGCGTGATTTTTTCGAATGTTCTATTCTAAATTTCGTAATTCGAGAGGGAAATCATTGAAATTGACATTTTTCCCGGAAATTATCAATCTTGGAGATAATTTCAGTTCAATTAAGCAATGATTTAATGAATTGTGAAAAATCGAAATTTTCATTAATGAATTGCATGTGCTCTAACACATTCCTGCGGCTTTTTCATTCTACCAGAAAAACGTGGCCATAAGTAGAGGTGAATCAAACAATTAGGGCACAAAAGATTTCTACGTACTTACTAATATCGCAGATTTTAATCGTCTAACGTAACGAAGAGAGAAACAAGAATATCACCAGCTATTTTTTTAGGATTAGTGATGTACTGGGGGATCTCTCGCCCTCATTTTAACAACGAATTATTGTTCGTCTTCCTCTGTGAATTTATCCCCCGAAAAATCGGTAGGATCGAGGAAGCATCTCGTAATAATCAAGCCAAGCTTGCGATAAATGAGAGAAAAAAATTGGTACATGAATTTTCTATTTTTTTTTATGTTCTCTGTTCAACATTCTTGCCTTTTTTTATTGTGGAATTAATAAAGAATATTTATGCATAATAATTTATTGTCAGAGAATTATTAATCAGAATGTATCTTCAATTTGTCTATCACTTCAATAATTGAGATGTCAATGGGACATATCAATTATATAAAAATTGGAAGAATTGAGTAAATTATTTCAAATTTACCGCTGTCCACCTGTCGATTGGCAGCGCTGTCATGACCCACTTCATAGGTCCCCCTCCATTTGGCGGCCTGTGGACCCCGGTGTATGTTTGCGTTCCTCAGTGATCACAAACCACCCCGCAAAAATTATCTTCAGCATAACCACTCAATTACCTAAACAAAAATAACCACAAACGGATAATCTCAGCGTTCTGCCCCCACGCCCTCCCCCCCCGAATAAAAAAAATCGGTGGCAGGTTAAATTTCCAAAGTGACAAGCCCCCGATTCCCAACTTCCCAAAATTCCCAAATAAAAAATGGAAAATCCAGAGGAAGTGCTCCAAGCTCTGGACGAATTCCAGAAGCTGCGTCCTTCAGAAATTCCCCGCGAACTCGAGGACTATTTGTGTTTCGTGGCAAAAACAGGTGATCCAGTGTACCAATGGTCCTTGATAAAGCCCTTATTCCGTGAAAAATTGGTACGAGTTATGACAGACTTCTACGAGAGCTGTCCAACGCTGGATCTCGCGGCAAGTCCCAACATCGAGCAATTCAACTACGACAGCATGAAAGGAAATCTTCTGGATCTATTGGAGTCCTTTGCAAATGCACCATTTACAGTCCAGAGGATTTGTGAGCTGTTGACGTCCCCGAGAAAGGAGTACAACAGAGTGGACAAGTTCATGAGGGCGATTGAGAAGAATATTCTTGTGGTGTCGACTAGAGAACCAGGACCAGCAGCTCGTAGAAGTGAGAATGGTGACAGTATGATAAATGGATCGATGGATGAGGAGAGTTCAGCGACACATCATGAGGTGGAGATGGAGTCATGGGTGAAGGATTGCACAGGTGATGTGCCAGAGGAAGCAGATCCCAAGAGGAGTGAGGAGTCTGTCATTCAGGAGAAACAAGAGCCACGAGGGAACCTAAATAACTTCAGTGATACATCAGGCACATTAAGTTCGAGCCAACACGAGCCAACGTTGTGTAGTAATCCACAGAATGCTGTGCCTGATGTATCTGGTATCGTTGGAGACGTTCCAGAAGCTATTATGAATGAGGATACTAGTTCTCAACCTAGTTTGGATTCCGAGAGTGATGACAGCGATCTGAGTAACTCGAGAAAATTGACGTTTCAGTCCAGAGATTTTGGCAAGGACAAGCCTGAGGAGAGGATTGAGGAGAGAGATGAGGAGAGGGCTGGGGTTAGGGATGACGATAAGGCTGATGAGAAAGATGAGAAGGATGAGGAGAAAGCCACGGGCGAGGATGAAAAGCCACTGGAGGAAGTGCACAAGGTGGAGCAGGGTAAATTAAATTTTGGTGGGCATCAGCATCCAGATTTATCCATCGATGATCCCATCCTTGAGAAACGAGCGAGACTGGACGATGGGACGAGTTCAGAGACTGATTCTAGGGAGTCTGTTGTTATCGATTCGTCAGAGATGAGGGCAGCGTCTCCTGGGGTAAAGGGGGATCCCTTGAACAGCTGCGAAGGAGGTGATGATAAATCTGAAGGTGAGGCGCCGGTGGCTGAGCCCCAGGTCTTATCTGGCGAGGAAAATGATGCAGAACCCGAACCTGAGGTGCCAGAGGTAGAGCGAAATCACGAGGGCATTGAGACGGATTTCCAGGAGCTTCCAGAGCATCACATCAAGGGGACCAATTCCACAGAGCCTGAGGTTATTACTGAGAGTAAAAAGGATGAGCAGAGTGAACAAGAGACTGTTGAACCTATTGTGGAGGAACCAACGATTGAGGAACCTGAACGCGATGAAGAGGCTGAGGAGACTGGAGGTGTTGTCATCCAGGAGGCTATGGATGATGATACCAAAAGTGGAAATACTATGGTGCCAGATCCTATTCCAATTATCGAGGAGCCCAAAGAGGAGAGTTTCGTTACCAGTACTGAGGAGACCTCCATCGCTGAAATCGTCGAGGCCAAGAGTCCTGTGATTGGCGAAAGTGACAATGAAGTCGGCACGAGTAAAGAGGGTCTTGTGGATGTCGAGGAGCTCTGCGAACCCCTTCAGCAGGACAATATCGATGATGTATCGGTTGTTGAGAGAGCGAACGAGGAGGAAAAGGAAGTCGCTGTGTCCATGGACGTCGACAGTGAGGATGCGATGCCAATTATTCAGCAGGACGAACCCATGGAGGAGGAGTCTGGGGATCAACTCAAGAGTTAATGTAACATATTCATATTTATTCGTGGAACTATCATTCTCTCTCTGATGACTTGAATTCTGGGTTTCATATCGGAATTGATGACTGGTTTAATTTTTTTTTTCTCGATTTTTGAAAGTGATTATTTTGTGGGAGGTCATTGTCATGATTAGTGTGTTTAGGGGAGTAGTGGAGTGCTTGAGGTGCTGGAAAATTTGAGGTAGAGAAAAGCAGGGGATGATAATTGATAATGCCTCCACCACTTCCTCATTGAATCCATTATTTAATTAGTCGTTTCTTCGAGTAGATGTTTTTGAAATTATTTCTTGAATCATTAATTTGACATGTGCTCCAATCACTGAGATATCTGCGATTAAGTGTAAATTACGAAATGAGGACAGATGAAGATTTGTGAGTAAACAGTATCTCAATGTACCATGCCAATTTTCTTCGTCAACTTCGTGGATGTTCAGACGTCCATTATTATGATAATATGTGGATATATCTTTGAATTATTTTGGTACAATTTTTCATACTTGTCGAGATATCAATCCCTCTCTCCCTCGATAATGATAATGTAAATTTGTATTCTGGTGAAACGTCGAGATGAACACTGCCTACTCGTTATTAGAATGTTTCATTGATGTGGATGGATACGTGAGTGAATTCAATCGAATTTTTTAACTGTCGTGAGATTTTTCGAACTTGTCAGGGAGAATCGTGAATAATAATTCATGATTTCAGTGTTAAACGTAATGAATCGAATTTTTTATCCTTGTGAATTATTGCGATTGTCTCCAAACCGGGAATTTCCAAAAATGCCAAATAAAAATGGAAAGTAAAGTCTCAGATTTTTCCCTAGAACCACTCGTCACTGGGATAATGCAACGATTAATAAAGTTCAACAGTGAATTTATTGCTTGAGGTGTAATCAATATTTTAATTCAGTGGCGAAGGGGTAAAGGGTGATAAGTTGACTTTTTCCTAGTCGCGGTTTTTGACGAATATCTCGAAATCACCGAGAGATAGCGAAAATTTTGTTAAAACTTTTTTCGCGGAGGAAACTGAAAGCTGTAAAAAAGGTCTCACATAAATTTCGCTGTGTCTCTCAGATCGAGACATATTTTCCAAAAACTTACCTGTTTACTGAAATTACGTGATACCCTTCGCTCCGGAATTCCCAATTTCTTTCATCGATCGAAATCGTTTGCATGGAATAGAGAATCAGACGTATGAAAGAATGTATCGAAAGAAAGGAGTAAATGGAGATGAGAATGAAACCAACAGCCATTTGTGACGTGGTAAACATTCACCCTAGGATTAAGTTGAAATTGGAGCAAAACACACGAAAACACGAAAATTGTAGGACTAAAGGTATGAATAATTTAAGATAGCTGTGTATATTATTTTATAGCAAAATATATGCAACTAATTATAATAAGAAGAGTCTATCATTCCCTTGAAATTAATTTTTAATAATCAATTCATCCTTCTACCTCTCATACCTCGTTTATATAGACAAAATTTACATTTCTTTAACAGCCTTGAAACTTTAACCTGTTTCTGAAACACTCAGCTGAAGGTTTGATGCTTAACCAGGCGTTTAAAAATCCCATCCTCTATCTGCATTAGCTCATTGTAGGTTCCAGTCTCAGTGACTTTTCCCTGATCGAGAACTGCGATTTTATCAGCATTTTTTATTGTGCTCAGTCTGTGGGCTATTGTCAGGACTGTTCGACCTTGTGTTGCACGTTCCAGGGCCTCCTGGACGTAGCTCTCACTCTCAGCATCCAGAGCACTCGTTGCCTCGTCCAATATCAAGATTTTTGGATTCTACAAAGGACGAGAGAATAAAATTACATTTGAAAAATAATTATTAAAAACTGATGAATGGAAAAATAATTGTACTTTTATAAGAGCCCGAGCAATGGCAACTCGTTGTCTCTGTCCTCCACTGAGAGTGATGCCCCTCTCCCCGACGATTGTATCGAGTCCATTGGTCATCCTCTGGGTGAACTCAAGGACATTAGCCATCCTGGCAGCATCAATTACGTCTTGCTCATTGGCATCCTCCCTGCCATAGCTGATATTCTCCCTGATGGTGCCCGAGAAGAGTACAGGCTCCTGCGATACGAAACCAATCTGTCCCTTCACCCAGACAGGATCGAGCTGCTTGAGATCATGCCCGTCGAGCATCACCCTGCCACAATTGGGATCATAAAGCCTAAGAAGTAGAAGAGCAACAGTTGATTTGCCGGAGCCCGAGGGCCCAACGATGGCATTAATCGACGAGCTCTTCAGATGAAGAGAAAAATCCCTGAGGATCCAGCAGCCCTCCCTGCTGGGATAAGTAAAATCAATTTGACTGAAGGATATCTCCCCAGTCAGTGGCCGATCCAGGACAACTCCCCCAGAGGCTGGAATCCCAGGTTGACGATCGATAAACTCGAAGAGCCTCGAGCTAGCCCCAAGGGCTCTATTCAACTCAGTGTAAAAATTTGAAATTCCGTTGATAGAAATTCCTGTGTAGGCGGCGTACAGGAGAAAAGCCGAGAGATTTCCCACAGTTATGGCTGACTCAGCCAGCATGACACCCCCATAATAGAGAACTGAGAGGATGATGACATACCCTGAGAAGCCCGTGAGACCGAAAAAAACTCCTCGGTACCAGCTCTCGGCGTAGCAGAGGGACAGCAGTTCCTCGAGCCTTTTACTGTACCTCTTGATCTCATTGGACTCCTGGGCAAATGCCTTTACCGTTCTGATATTGCCGATGCGTTCCTCAGCTGTGGTATTCAACACTGCGAGACTGTTCTGGACTTCCTTGGATATTTTTTTAATGAAACGACCGTAGACTATCGCCAGACCCACTATCGGGGGCACCATCGCCAGCCCCACGAATGCCAGCTGAGGAGAAACGTAAAACATCATGGAAACACCTGCTGCTGTCATTATTGACGAGCGTAGACCATCGGAAATATTGCTCGTCACTGCTGAAGACACCAATTGGGCATCACCTGTAGAGCAATTTTTTTTTATCACAAGATTATCTAAAAAATAATTAATGATTACCTGTCAGTCGTCCCACGAGTTCTCCAGTGCTGACCTTGTCGAACATGGCAGTTTCCTGGCTGAGGATGGAGGAATAAGCTTTTCTCCTCAAGGACTGAGTGATCCTGTGACCAGATGTGCTCATGAGGTAGATCCTCCCGAAATTACAAATACCCCCAACGATGAAAACCGTCAGCAGTGCCAAACTAAGTTTATTCAAGTTCTCCCTTGTCTGCTGCTTGTCCTCTGTGTAGATGACATCGATTACCTTTCCCAGGCAGAAGGGCATCGCCATCGTTACCGTCGACGACACGAAGAGCAGACAAATTGCACCAGTGAGCTTCCACTTCTCTGGTTTTGCTAGAGAGAAGAGCCTCTTGAGCTCAGACTTCTTCTGGGTCTTCAGACTAGTCTCCAGGACATTCCCCTTGACTGCATCAATTGTCCTGAACCTCAGACCCATCAGCAAGCCCTGAGCCCTGTGAATCCCCGGGCTCGAGCGATTTCCACATCTCCACGAGTGAAAAACACATTTTCGAGTTACTGTGAATCTTTTCAGGCTCAGTATTGCACCGGATGACATCAATCTCAACAACATCGTAATGTTTTTCTCTTGAATTCATAGAATTCTCGGCGATTTAACTGTTGTCATGAAATGGATACTCCTCATGCAGGCAGAGGATAATTAAAAATTCATCTGATGACTTGTAATTTTTACCTGCTTTGGGATATGATCGTCATTATTTGAGGATTTATAGAGAGGATTATAGAGAGGAGAGTGTTAGGTAATTCTTGGGATATAGTCAATGGAAATAGGTTAGGTAAAAACCACGGCGCACTGTGTCTTCATTACACACCTCATACATTAGATACTACTGTGAACAGCTGACTTTTGGAGCCAATGACACGCAACATGGGTTCAAGGGGTTACTACAGTCTAAATTGTTTAATTCATTAGATTTTTCAATTTAAATGCAATGAAAAATGAGCATTGTTGATTAATTAATTATTGGTAATATCAGAGAGAGGGAATGCCTTTTGAAAATTCATATTTCTCGTTTATTCACCCTATTAAAATAATATAATAACAGATTGCAATAATTTCACGTCGATTTAAAGATCAGATTTTGGGTTTTGTGCACGACAATGAATTCTTCGATCAGATGTTAAATTCAATTTATGATGGGTTCAATTCGTGATGTCAAATCACGATCGGGAGTGTATGGGCAGTATTGGGTTGATGAAATAGGGCTTATTCGGGAGGAGATCGGCTGAGGGGAGGTCTGGATCACTCCTCCATGTCCAGGTCCCCCAGTTCTTCCTCCAGGCCCTCAAGGTCGTCCTCGGTGAAGAGGTTCTCATTGATTGCTAGTGCTGCTGCTCCTTCGCCCACTACAGTCACTGAAACATTTATAAATTATTAATAACAAGTGTAGATATCACAAAGAGAATGAATGGATAAAATAAAAAATACCAGAAGTCTCTCCATTAACTTCAGGTGCCTTGAATTCCTTGAGCCTGTCGTCCTGAGCAATGGTGATACCTGTGATATCGAGCTCACTGGCCTCCATGGCCAGTCTCTCCATGTCCAGCTCACGATACTCAATTTTTTCTCCCTCTTCATCGTCCTCATGGAACTGATAGCTGTCAATTGCCTCGTCCCCATCGTCGATTCCATCTCCAGCTGCCAATTCAGGGTTGAACGAGAACATCTCACGTCCGGAGATACCGACTTGTCGTCCAGCCTTGTAATCACTCCTCTTCTTCTCCTCGTCCTTGATCGCTTTTTCCTTCTTCTCGGTTAATTTACGTTTCTTCCAGGCTAGGAAAGTCTCGAGAGTTATTCTAGTTTGGTTGGCGCCCAAATTGGCCCTCTCCTTCTCGATCAAGTCCTCGAGAGAAATCTCGTCCTTCTTGTCAGCCTGCTTTTTGTCTTTCTTCAGGATAAATCCAGGGGGTAGGGCATGACGATAAATGCATTTTTGACCTGATGGACATTCCCAGAACCAACCGTATTTCGATTGCTCCACTGCTGCCAAGAAGTGTTTGCAGATGATGTCAGTTGTTGGTCGATTGCCACCACTGCCATGCTTCTTCTCCACGACCTCAGCCAATTTCTCCTCATCCCATTTATCCATAGTATCAGCCTCTTTGTCATCATCTCGCATATCACAGTACAGAGAGCGTTTTTCAGCTTTTCGCTCGATCGTCAGATCGTGGGAGAATTTACACTTGTCACCCTTGGTGCACTGGCCCTGCTTGAAGAAGGCACAGACCACGGACTTTGGATCAGTCCCTTGAACGAAAAAAAAAAAATATCCTAAGTACTCCATTCTCTCAAATTCATTAATTAATATATTGATTCAATTGCGTGGAAATAAAAAGTGGAATGAGAGCAAAAAAATAGGCCTTCATAAAAATTGTGGTAACTCCATTAAATTTTGAGATATTCTCAGGATAAATACCCTTTTCAACTTTTTGACTTTGAACTGGTTTGAAGAGTAGTGCAAGTTCCTTCGCCTCCTGCAGCTTCTTCTCCTTCTCGAGTTTTTTAGTGAGGGGATCATCCCCCTTGCGTGGAGCCCCAGGTTTCACCTGTTTTTCCACTTGCTGAATGAATTTCTGCTGTTTGGCGCCCTTTTTATTCTTCAAACCGAACGTTTTATCCTGAAAATTGCCACACACTTTCGTAAATATCCATGTGTCATCAGTATTGAGATGAAACATGTGCTGGAATTAATTCCAACGGAATTTTATACCTCGATGACCTTCTCCTTCTTCTTCATCTCCGTCTTCTTGCTCGGAGCCGGTGCTTTTTTCGGTGGCATCTTGATCCTGATATTTATTTACGATATAATTAATTAAATCACTCGATTGGGATAACCTTTCTCAGCTGGCGAAGGGAAAAACCATTTCTCGGGACTTCAATTTCTGCAGTTGAGACTGGAAATTTGTAAAAGCAGTGACTCCCGCCATCTGACGGTCGGCCAATCACTCAGTGTTTCAAAATGACGACCGGTCTTTGTTCACGAAGCGTCGGCGGTTCCTCAAATTTCGAACAAATAAAGGGAATAACGTGAAAATCGGGACAATTAGTGCACTTATTGAGTAATAATGATGGATAACAATCATTGTACAGTGAAATTTGTTGTGTATTTGTTGTAAAAAATGTGGTGGAGTGATTTTGTGATGTGATGAGTGAAAGAGACTTCAAAAGCTGTGATCGTACCAGCGTTTGGATAAACTCAAAAGATGTCACATGGCAAGTGATTCTGACATTTTACTTTGTTTTTAGCATGAATCTGTGATAATTGTTTAAACAAATCAAATGTTAATACCGCGTAACGCTGCGCAATACTGACATGCAATGCGGCTCTCTCGAAAAAAATTTAACCTCCAATTTTCGTCTTTTCGACTTCAAAAATCGTGTATGACGTATTTACTTTTGTTGTCTGCCTTCAACACGTCATTATGAAATCATTGTTCAATTATTTATTTAAATAACAATTGAAAATTCATGAATCAATGATTTTGTAATGGTGTGAGGTATTTTTGCAAATGGCCAAAGTCTTTGTTGTGGTAATATTTAAGTAGCAATTAATTGAGAGGGGTAATTGACAGGAATAACTGAATCATCAATGGATTTTTCAAAAAACTCTGTTTAATCATTCAAGTAGTCGACGTTTACATATGTAGTAATGATTTCGTATCTCAATTGGATTCACATTTTTGCGAATCAACCCAGCACACTCCCCTCCATTCCTCCCCCACATCTCTATTCCACTTGTTCCTAAGGTACTTACAGTGTAAATGTCATTAATGTTTTCATTCTCATTAAATTTCTACGTATTAGCTGCACCTTGGGCCTATTGTATGTACAACAGATAGTAAAAACGTCGATCAACGATTCGCTCGTTTTATTATCTCATCTCATTAATCATACTCTGTATATTTATTTCAAATAATTTTCATAACAAAAACAACTTTTACTCGTGCCTCGTAGTTAATCAACTGTTCGTGTATTTAGATAAATAAAAATTGATGAATCAGTAATGCCGCGCGTGACTTCGAAGTCGATGATTTATTAGTCATTAAATTACCATTCGATTTGATTAATCAATGAGTCACAGACAGGGAAATTACAAAAGGAAAAATATCGGATTACGCTGCAGAAGGGCTTCGTAGACCAGAAGTCGTATTTTTCATCTCTTTTTTTTTGTCTCATATTTTTTCGTGTCATTCTCTCATAAACTCACTAGCATTCACCTACATCTCGCATTCTCTCGTCCCCATCACTCCAGCACTCTTCTCATTTTTTTTTAATATCACAAGTTCAATGTACCCGATTCCAGTGTTTCGCTGACGCTCAGCAATTTTTTTATAGTTCACTCCATGCGACGTTTTCTTGTTACGTGTGTGTCTCTGTGTGCATTTTTTATTTATTTTTATTAATTTTTTCAATATAAGGCTCCCACGGCAGTCTCACGAAGTAGCATCAGTTCTTGTATCGACAATGAAGGGAGAATGCGGTCGTTTTTTTAAAATTACGCTCAAACTGATGACCGAATATCATTAATCAGTGATTTGAGAAAGAAAAAATCACCCGGCAAAATTTTCTGGAAAATTTCTCTCGTATCGATTATGCAGATGTTAGATTTCTTATCGAAAAATGTCTGCAATTCTTCTCCTCCGAGATGATTGAACACCGACAGAGCAATTAATTCATTAAAATTCATTAACTATCGGCAAACGATCGAGTCGAATGACAGCAGAAATATTCGTTGATAGTTGATGATTTTTAAATAAATAATGCGGTCTAACGGTGTCACATGAATTTCAGTTTGAGCTCAACTTTTATTTGGTATTTATGTCCTGATAAATACTCACGACCGCATTCAAAATTTTAATAATCATCTAAACAACTACATTAATGTACAAGCCAATCACTAATGATTACAATGAATCGAAGTTCTTAACGCGTCACTCAGCGAGACGTCTGGATTGTGCCATAAAGCTCTTGTTAACGCCCTGTAAGAATAGGATTGGGCCTTCACATTATTTTCAACATGAAACAAATGTTCATAATTGTTTTTACTTCATCTTCATACGTATTTTATTTAATTGCTTAATCGCGCGAGCGGAGGAACAAGCGCACGCGTGATGCAACAAAAATCAAATCGAACGAGAGTCCATTGTTGTTTTATTTATTGGAAAAAATGTTCTTAGTATCCAAAAGCTCGTCATAAGCAAATTAATTAATGATTTTGTCGTCCTCGCGTGTGATGGATTGATTTTCAGTCGTTAATTCATTCTGCTCTGCATTGTTAGATCATTTTCGCAAACTCAATCAATATTCTGTCAGATTCATTTTCATTTATTCACCAATCGTCACGACATGAAATACTCTCGATCATTTATTTTTTTCTCCTTCCACTGGATAACTTCTAGGCGACAAACGAGATTCGTAGATTATTTATTAATGAACAATGCGATCTCTCAAAAGAGTTTCAACTAATTGTCATTCACTCCTCAGCTTTTATGTGATTGTAACGTTATTACTTCTTTCTCATTTTTTAAATTTAATCTAGATTTATGTAATCAGTCCGAGAGGTGGCTACTAAGGCCGTGAAAAATTTTATCGAGTCGATGGAACGTTTCACTCCCTCGGGAATTTTTTTTGTAGGGAAAATGTCAATTGCGACAATTCCACGTTAAATGTTGAATTATTTGGAGGCCAGAGATTTGTGTTAATACTTCTCTCGCATTTTCCTCTAGTCTGAAATATTTTTTAGATTTATATTTTTACTCTGAAATACTTTTTGCACATTTTTTTATGTTTGTCTGAGTTACTCGGAGCGAATGAAACGTCCAACTCCTTCACAATAATACAGGGGGAAATACGATAAAAGCCGGACGCGTTATCATTAATTTGTTCCTCATTACGAAGGTAATGAGGAGATAGTCAAGAGGAGGTGGAAAGTCTCTGTGTAATTATTTGTTTCGAGTGTATCTGTTGTTGCTAGGGGCTCAAATATCAGCGATTGTCCCCTTCGAGTGAAAATTATTGAATGGATAAGAAAAAATAGTTCACTGCATTTGATGATACCATTTTTTCTCAACATATCTGAACATCAAAAAACACTTGTACTCGCATTTTTTAAATCTTTCGATTGCCAAATATTGAAAAAATACTGGGTACTGAAAAAATAATTGAACTATTTTCTCAACGATTCAATCTCCCTCTTCTCCTGAATTTTTCATGGGATTCATCATTATTACTCTCTTATTGTTTTGTGTATGTACCTCGTCGCGTAATTTTTAGTGATTTTTTTTTTTCATCATTTTTTGAGAAAAATATAAATCGAAATTTAGAATTTAGTACAGAAGGCCTTGCTCTCGCACTCTCCATTCATCGCGAAATAATATTGAAACATTGTCTCCAATTTTTATCAAGTTCCCACTCTCGTTTTTTTTTTCTGTCGTGAAGTGCATTTTCCTCACAGAGGAAAAATCATGGCAGGTCAATGGATTGAAGTGGTCCATTGGGATAACTCAATAATTTGTCTGATTACGTAATTATCATCATAACGATATTTCACGGACAGTTGACTAGTGATTATCAGGAGAGAGTGATTGAATCCGACCTAGGGGAATAAAAGTACCAAAATGTCCGATCAATTGACATCCGATATCATAACTATCCAGGAATATATTTTCCAAAATAATCCCAATACTTTTCCCAACTCTTTAAAACATCCATGGAGATAAAATTTTTAGCTAGAAAAAAATGATAGCCATTAATTATCGGAGTAATCCTGTAATTACCAAACCCCTCACGAATTCACTCCATCCACTTCAATCCAGATAACCATCACCATTACCCCTATCGCTATTCTCACTCACGTCTGACGTGTCAAGCCGGCTAATAAAAAGGAAAAAAAAAAATCCCACTGGAGACATTTCTAGTCTACCTCTCCCAAATCTCTCGCAATTACTCACCCCAGGTTGGGAGGAAAAATCACACACTTGTTTTAATATTTCATCATTCTCACGATTTTTTTTTCATTAAAAATCCACATCTCACTATTACAATCACCCGAATCACACACAGACTGTTCCCTACCGATAAAAACTATGTGTACACAGTATATCACCTTAATGTAATGCTCGAAATGAATTAAATTAATAGTTGCTACGCTGAAATAATTGATCTCCCAATTATCATCGATTTCTTACATCTCTCAACTCTCCCCTAATGTATAATGCAGAGGGGGCAGGAGGGAGTCAGGGGGGGGGTAATAAATTCTAGGGTGATGTTTGTTTCCTCATTATCGAAATAATAACACAATTGTCGCACTCGCAGCCACAGTGGCTCCCACGCACATCTAACAAATCAATAACATATTTACATTATTCAATTTTTTAAAATCCATTTCCCATTACCCATTCTATCATTATGCATATTGTTACGCGTTCCCATCATTTTCACCAATTATTTATCAACTTCACTCAACAGTCGCAACAGGTACTCGTTTCAATAATTCATCTATACATAAATACGTCTCATCGACGTTTGATTCATTTTATTATTCGTTAAGAAAAAGAAGAAAAAAAAAATTCAACTCGTGTTCATAATCCCCAACGGACCGTTGAAAACCACATCACAGCTGCACTATAGTGCTAATTAGAACACATTATTGCTGGTGTTTTAATATTTTCCATTAGTTTCAAGCTTAACAGTTCCCCCCCAAAAAAACCAATACATAACTCTAGAAATTTAATAAATCAATAATAAAATTATAATTATACATTATGAAATAATTAACGTGGGAGCCAATGCGAGGGGTGTGCGACAAAATGTGTTATTACGTGTACTTTTTTTTTATTCATCTTGTTGCTGTTGTTTTTTTTTTTTCTGTGTTTAAATCTACGAAATACCATAAGTCTTATCATCTAAAAATCAACTTCGATGCGCGCGCGCATAGATCCTGCGTAATCGGCGATTATCCCATGATTGAGGATCACGTGAATTATCGAACGAGTTGACTAATTAATTTCATTAATCAATCGATCAATTCGAAGTTGAATGGGAATTCAATGCGGTATTCGAGACGCTGTGGATTATTAAAAGGTAGAAAAAATGATTGTGATGGAATATCGTGCATTTATCGATAAGACTGATTGAAAGAAAAGGATGATTAAGTTGCCTGTGCATTTCACAATAAATTCAATGTGCGAGACAAGTATTTTTACAAAGTTTCACGTGAATATTGAGTAAATCGATTATCTATTGCCATGAAAAAATGGGTGAAACAACATTTTTACGGAATTAGATATAAAAAACACGGTAAAATCGTTTTTCATACGGGAAAAATAAAAAAAAAAAAGGAAAAACACGTGATCCCCAATCAACGAAACACTCTCCCCTATTTACGATTTTTTTACTTTAAGATTATTTTTTTTCCATTTTTCCATTTCATTTTTTAAAATTATTCTTCATTTAAATATAACTTTATATTATCCGTCAACTTTTGTTTATTATATATTATTATAAAATTTAACTCCAAATTGCGATAATAACCTCCTAGTTTGCAACGTGGTTGTCTGTAATTTGTTTTTATTCATTAAATTAAATTGTAGTGTATGATTTATTTATTTTTGTTAGAGTTCACATCTGAGCGTTATCGACATGTGTATTCAATTTTTACGCCCAATGATTTTTTTTTAGTTTCTCCATTAAAATCATGTAACATGTCACGTGTGATTTTTATTTCTTTTGCATTTTGTGGGAGCATGTGTAATTACTTTATCCCCATCATCTTCTCATTTCTCGTTCACTACAATTAAATGAATTCTAGTTTAACCTTTACTCGTTAATTCAGTAGAATAATGTTCACTCTTAGCGTTCATTGTTTTCACTATTTTTCAATCATTAACGTATCAGTTGGCGCACCGTCGGCGTTCGCCGGTTTATACCAGTTACTTTTTTTTTTTTTTCATTTAAATTAATCCTTTATTCCTCTCATCGCCCCTCGTTAAACCAACTATCTACATATCGCTATTCCTTCACCATTTATTTTTTTCCTTAATCGCTTTGTTTTTTTTTTCGTGTTTATCCTTTTTTGTACGTGCAAACATTACTTCCAGTCTTTATTCGGGCACAGTGCGACCGTCGTGCGTGTTCACATTATGCAGCTTTAGATAATTTCTGTTTATAAATTAGTTATTAATTGGTCTACAGTTATTTGCTCTTATGGGTGAGTGAACTGACGCTCGATGTCTCTGTTAATTCTGACATTTTTTATTTTCCCTAAAGCATCACACCCCATACCTTTTTATTTTTCAAATAATCCTCCAGTTGATGGGACTTTAATCGAGAGACTCAACGATTCAATTATCTAGTTTTATGGTAATTCCGGTGGTTCTATTGGTTTTTCATTCATCTATCGAAATGGGGTGGTGGGTGTGATTAGATATTATGCAGTGAGAATCGAGTTGTCACAGTGGGCCACAGTGGGAAGTAATATTTACATATTTGAGAAGCGCGTCAATAAAGTGCGTTAACCAAAACGTTAATTTTTTTTTTTAATTTATCTCAATTAAGTCTAGCTACGTGTGTGTTCCTGGTGTCGGGCAGGGCTAGTCAGAGACCGGTTTTTTTTTTACATTATTTGGATGATTCAGTTTATTGGGAATCGTAACTTGATGTGGGGGGATCTTGATTATAGGTTGAGCTACAAAAACTCATGTTCGACTCATGGCGATATTTAAATCGTCGGAGAGAGGGCACGTAGGGCCACGTGCTGATCCTAAGAATCGAGATCTTTGAGTTTATTTCTGGGCTTTTGTGAGTCTCTGAACAGCCCTGGCGAGCGATTCGAATTATTATTAGTCAATAATATACTTTGTGTATGCATCATAACAACCGATATCTCATCTATATATATAATGTATATATCTTATTTTATATATAATTCTATATTTTTTTTCTTTCATATATACTTTATGTTGTTTTTTTTATGTATACTTTATATATAACAATGTTATGTTTATGTAAGGCCCAATATGTTCAATACGAAGGAAATGATCTGAAACAATGGAGAAAGACAGATATTACTTCAATTGCGTAATTAAATTTCGTGAATTCGGTGATTGAATTTCGTAATTGCATTCAGTCATTCGAGTTTCGATCCTTCTAATCCAGAAAGGACGAAGGGAACCGATCTCGAATGACCGTAAGGGTAACCCCAGAATGGGGGCGGCAAATTTTGAAAATTTAAAAAAAATAAAAAATTCAAAAAATCGGGAAAATTTGGGAATCATCGCGGAAACCAAGGGAGTTTGTAAATTATTCCATAAATTGGGCCTGATCATAAATTGGGAGGATCGGGGGGCGTGTTGAAAATTCAAAAAATCGATCTCGTCGATTGAAAATTTAGGGGAATCCCGGATGGATTCGAAAATTATTTGAAAAAGTGATTATTAAAATGTTTTTTACTAGGCATTTTGAAGGGAATTTTTTATCAATGCAGGGGGGTAATTGAAAAATGGTTTTGAGTAAAAATATTACCTTGACAGAGCAAGGCCCACGTATCACTCGCGTTCGACGTCGTCAGCCAGTGATGGGTCGCCCTGTGCCTCGACGGCTGTTCAGCTGTCGACACTGAATAGCTCTTTATGAAGGGGCGGAAAGTCAATAATATGCGGTGGCTGTGATCGCTTGAACTTGATGAGGGCGTCCATGTGAAGTAATGATACTTCTTTCAATTGTGGTATCTTAGCGAGCAGGGCATCGCAGACTGTCACATCACCCTTTATCGGTAACACGTGATTACGATCGAGCTCGTATCTGAGGGCCATGATCACAGCTTGTGATAGCTTTGTGATGTCTTGTACGTCTTTGAGTCCAGTGCGCTCTAAAAAAATTGAAAATTATCGTTTAAATCGTGAATCGATTTATTTTCCCCAGAATTAAACAAAAATCGTGGAGTTATTAATAAAATTGGGCGATGACTAGTCGAATTGGATGAAGTGAGATAACCATGTGAAAATCATTACAATCTCTTTGCAATTAAGATTTCTGAATAGTCGAGAACCTGTGAATATTTGGTTTGCTCTCAGGGCTTGGGGCTCTAGTCGAATAAATCCAGGGAGAGAGCCATTATTATTCAATAATGAGTTCCAACAGGGTTCCAGACTTATTGACGCACTGGTAAATTTCAATCACAAAGTTTGATTGAAATGGGGATGAGTCTTGTAAATGAAAGCTCACCTGGATTAAGGAGTACAACAGCACTGTAGAGGGCAAGCTCGCTCTCAGTGAGTTTCAACTCGGCGATACTTCTCGCTAATTCAAAGACACACGATACCAGTTTCATTTCAGCTGTATCAGTTGTGTAGAAGGCATCCTGTGGCAGCATCGTGTCACCGTACAGAACACAGTTCTGTTGGAGATCGAGGTACCTGCTCATACGTAGCACAGCCATTTCGAAGGCACCTGACAATCAATTGAATTAACGTTAAATTACTCACGAAATACTCAAAAAATAGTCCTCAACGAGCTTGAAGGACTATTTTGGTAATTTATCAATTTTTAATTATCAGAAAATTGATGAATTAATTAATCAGTGAAGAGGTAATTAATTATTAACTTACCGGCCTTGAGTAGAACAATCTGGTCGTCCTGCGTGAGTTTCATAAATCCAGGCACCATCTTAGCGAATTCGATGATGGCCTGAATGACATTCGTCAATTTCTGTGCACAGTCGTACCAAAGCTGTTCATGCGCCATATTCTTATAAAAGATCAACTTGGTGAAGTCATGAGGCGTGCGAAAGGCCTCTTGTATCTCCTCCGTACTGACCAATAATGTTTTCTTGTGAGCCGCCGCCAGTGTCTGGACGAGCATACCAGTGAGATCCGCCGGATCTGTTATTTAAAAAAAAAATAATAATAAAAAAAGGGGCCATCTGTTAGTTATATCCATCGTAAAACCAGCAATAGAGTGAATTGTCACTATTGCCGCGACCACTTGGCAATTGATATGCCACAAATAATACATCTTACGCTATTTATTCACATCGATCTACGGAACTTAAACCGCGGACGATAACCGGAAGAGGAAAAAATAAACCGTAAACTGTTCAATATAAAGTACGAGAAAATTAAATTGTCGTGCATCTACCGCAAATTGAGTCATGCGTGTACGTTTCACAGATATATTTTTTTTTTTATTCCACATAAAGAATTAGTGGAGAGGGAGTACGAGAATTGAGAAAGAGAGCACCCAGTTTTCAGAGATATTGTGACACAGTGCGAAAATAATTATGAGGCTAATTAATCATTCGAGTTTGTCCACTGTAATGAGATGAAAATGGTAAATTATCCATCGGCGATGAATTATACGCGGTGAGATAATTCAATAAAAATCACTGCACAAAAATAGAAAAATTATTAACTACATCGAAAAATGCAGGTGCAATTGGTACTGCAAATTAAAAAAATAAAAAAATAGGGAAATGCCCCTGAAGATTCAAAAATGCTCAAATAATTTTTACAAAATGAGGAATACAGTGCGCTCTAGGCAATTAATTAAATAACAATGAATTTTTACTGAATAATTCTCTTCGCGGATATATTTGATGACATGCAACGTGCATTAACGAATTACCATCGGCTTTGTGTAAAAAAAAAATAGAGTGTGGGGACACAAAAAAAAAACAATAGTCTCACATCTCGTATGGGACATACTGGGCAGATTGGGGACTTCGTCGTCCTCTGGTGGATTGTCGGGCCTTTGCTGTTGGCCACTGATGAACGTTGTTGAATCAACCATGGTGTAAGAGCCATGACCAAGACTCGCTAGTTCAACTGTGGTCTCTTGTTTAACAGCAACAATTCCACCACCACTCAGTGAACCACCGCTCGCTGTACCACCACCATTGCTCCCACTTCCATTGCTACCCCCATTATTGTTACTAGTATTATTAGTACCACCACCTGAACTACCACCCGTACCGCTTCCGGTTGTCGATGCGGTCAGTGATTTTCCTATTTACCATCAATGCGACATTGTCAGTTTTTTAATATTAACCGATCAATAAAACGTCTAAGAGAACTCGATTAAAATTCCCATTCATCCCGTTATAAATTCATTGAAAACCAGAGAAACTCGGAAAATCATGTACTCTATATTTTTTTAGGACAATTACACTAATTGCGATTTAAGACGAAAAAAAAAATCTGAAGTTTCAGATTTTACTGACGTCTCAATGAAATTCGACTGTCAATATTAATATTAAATTGTTAATTCAGATGAATTATAAAATAATAAATATATGGAATTATTACATATATTTTTTATCGGGGCAAATGGCGTTCGTTCAATTTTTTTTTATTGTCCGGAAAGTTGGGAGTCAATTCAATGGTTATTTTTTTTTCGATTGCGAGTCAGACAATTATCGTTTTTTGGTTACCTGTTGTGACCATGTTAGGTAAAACCCCGGCAGCTCCTATTGACCCGGTGTCGGGGGTGAGTGGGTCGACCTGGGCTGGAGTTGGCCTAGGATCATATGTCGTTGTACTGTCAACGTAATCCGCACTCAACTCGTAACTTGTCATTGCCTGATGATTGTAATATCCTGAACCACCCGTACCTGGACCCGGCGATGCGTACTCACTTCCACTGTACGTGTAGCTAAAATTAAAAAAAAAAAACAGACCATAAAAAATTAAAAGAATCGCGCTTCAATAATTTTTCATATCACCCGCAACAAAAAATTCTCAGAAAAGCCTGTTAACGAGATATTTTAATATTTTTTACGTTAAAAAATAACAGAGTGCAAAGAAAATTGGGACTTATTGCATTTTTCGAAATTTTTTGACGCAGCGTCAGGATAAATTTCATTTTGACGCGTCGTAGAGGCTTTTTTGAATTATTAAAAGGCTTCTGGTGGCTCAAACGAGTGTCAGAATTTTGGTAATTCAAGATATATTTTTTTTGAGACTGACCCGCCGTTGTAGGAGTGGTGTTGATCTGAGCTGCTCGGTGTCTGATGCTCAAAAACACTGCTGTCTGGTGCTGTCTCAGATTGCGCTCTCATTTGCGCCCTGTGAAATCTCACTTCGTCCTCGACTTTCTCTCTCTGCTTTTTCGACATGCGACCAAATTTAACGGCTGAAACAAATAGATAATACCGCGAATGAAACAAACAGTCTCGGATAATATTTCATTAATTTTTCCCTCAAAGCACTCAAAATTGCGTATTAATTACTCGCGACAGATTCCTCTCAATTAGTGTCGGCACTTGATAATTTTAACAGGCGAAAGGGCAGATGGACTCGTCTATGAGGGAAAGGTCAACAACTAAGAAATGGGAAGCTGCAATTAGTCGAAACAAAGGGGGTGGTTGGGGGGTGGTAACGGAAATTAATGAGGGAACAAAGCTCTCTAATGAGACGAAAATAATCAAGCGTCAATAGTGCCCTTCGTTATTTGAAATCTATTATTTTCCAATTTATCGAGGTACCGTTATTTCTGGGGAACTCAATGTGGGGAGGAAAAATACTGGGGGTGAAATCGATCGGGTGGGGAAAATGTCAGGAATGAAAACAGAATTTCGGATACGTCACGGTGAGACATACACCCCAGGCAAATGAAAAATCAATGATACTAACACGTGGTGAGCTGGTGTGCACTTGTGTGAGAATTTTTTTTTTACTGTTTTATTTTTTACCGTAAGAACAAATGAAACGGGTTTTTAATGGGAGTAGAGTAGAAAAAAAATGGTGCACTTCATCGAGATTTGAATGAATGGAAAATATAGAAGGGATAATGTAAATTCTTGGGGAATTAATGGGATTTTTATTTAAATAGCACTGGATTTTTTTGGGGAGGGATTCTCCTGCACTTCCGTTAATTTATTGATTAGGTTGGAGAGGAATTGACAATTCGCGTGCCCTCGAAACATCAACTTCGAGTGGGCACTCGCGGTTAAAAAGCATATTCGAGTGTCAGCAAACACTCGCAATCAGAGGCCCTTTAAAACTTAATGAAACGATAATTGCAAGGGGATTATTCGATTTAGAAATGGTTGTTGGATATTCATTGTCTCCAAGATTTCACTAAAAAATCCGAATCCAACTGATAATTAAAATCCACACAATAATTTCGCCAATCAAAAATTCCCCAAAACAATGAATAATTACAATTGTCACAATTTTTTCGGAAAAATCCTCAATTTTCACTGACGAAATAAAAATTCACCTCCAATTCAATTCGGCAAATGAAAAGAAGGATTAAAAAAAAAATTGAATATCAGAAATAATTCCCATAATTACCGATAATAATTGGAATATTCCCTGAAATACTGGTTGCAGTGAAATATTTTGATTCGCGATATCCAATACAAGTGTTTGCCGACCAAAACATTGGGATCGACGAAATAAACGCGCATGCGCATCCCGGGAACGCGGAAGCATCGGATTGTATGACGTCACGGGTAATGAATAAAAGTTAGAGGGGGGGTAACGAGTACGTCATTGAGTTTGTGGGCAGCGGTACAGGCGGTCGTCCCAATCCAAGTGGTAAAGGGAGACCACGTGATGACGTGAGACCAGCTGAAGCCGGAAAAAGAGACAACGGTATCGTGCACCAAGTGCAATGAGGATGGAGTAATACGAGGGTGGGGAGGCAAGGAGCCAAGGGTGATCGACCGGAGAGAAAGAGCAAAGAGAGACAACACAAACAGTGGGGCAATACGGGTGTATGAGAGAATCAGAGGAGAGAGAGAGGCAATCAGGAAGAAGCAAAACGGCCTAGCGATGCATTTTCTCGGTCTATATATAGGATCTCCCATACAAATACCCCCTTTATCACTTGCTCACCAACACCAGTTAATCTCTGGCATTTACTCCGATGTCTCCGCCCTGGCAACTACTGATGCTAGATTTTTCCAACACTCGAGTGTGGAAAATCATATATGCAAATGCATAATTCATCTTCGGGATTTCACGTATTTTGAAAAAAAAATTGGAGAGAGTGGGATTAATTGGGATTAATGAACCCATTGTTGATTTAGTCGGTGCGAATATTTTGGGGAAGATGGAGCAAAAAATGTGGAGTGTGTCGGGATGATCGGAGGGCAGGAAATAATTTTTTTATGAAGAGATGATCTCTCGGGGTGAGAGGTGCATCTCGTTGGAATCCTCGTGTTTATTCTCTCATTCACGGAAATAGAATGAAGCAATGGATTAGAAAGAAGAGAGAATGCACTCTGACGGGAGAAATACGTTGTGAGGGCTGTGGGATTTTATTCTGAAGTTTGTGAAGTTATTATTGAAAGAAGTTGAGGGATTTTGGGGGGTTATTTCGATCAGCTCGTCTCTGGGGAGCGGTTAATGACTCCCAATTTCGGTGGCGATGAATGCACCGAAAATTTCAGATATTAAAAATAGTATCACAATTTTATACCCCCGGATTTGTCCGGAAATTTCTGAATTTTTAAAAATATCTCGAAATTCAATAATTACGAGGTGAAAAAATGAAGTCCCAAGAATAAAACGCGGAAATTCGAGAATTCTAGGGGCAACCCTCGGAGAATTAATTTCCCTTGGGATAAATAGTCTCTCCTCGGGACGGATTCAGGACGGATTCAGGACGGATATTCAGTATATGATTCCAGTCACCCATTGAGCTGCCATTTAGGATGGGTGGCACGAGTGATCATCCCCCATGTGGAGTCATCCTCACACATTGAAAAAGCCCATTGTCTCCAGTCGACGTGGAAATGTCAACGTTTCACCTTTTCCCTCTGTACCAGGGAGAGGATTTAATGACACCAAACAACCAGACACACGTGTCGTCATCGGTTTTACTCGACGAGTGATTAATCCAGTCGTTAATGAGGCAAGGGAATCATCAACAATCAATGACGATTTAAGTTTGAAGAAATTTTTACATCTTTGTTCGATATTTCACCGTTATCCTGACCAATCGCGTGTTTATTTTCTTTTTTTTTTATTCGCGTTGCACCGTTACACGTATGTACACTTTTCGGCCACTAAATCTTTACCGCTAGGTCATTGCCTGCATGACGGCGCAATGCATTAAGTCAAGAAACAGGCGTGACTCCAGGAAAAAGACGAAACATTGAAAAGGTGAGGGGAATCCAGGGATGAGGGACTTTCTTTATTCGTTTCATTGTTCGGGATTATTCCCTTTTTTTCGGGGCTTCTCGCCGGATGTGGTCTTGAGGGGAGATAAATTATCGGGAATAATTCCGAAAGCCGGGTTTAACATTAAATATCATTCCATTTTCAATACATTATATTTCTCGTATTGCGCAATTCTTTCTCGCTGAAGAAAAAAATCCTCTCAAGTTGTAACTTTAACGTTTCATAAATAATTCATTTGAATTTCAATAATTTTACGTAATAATTACCATAATTATTGAAATTGGATTGGTGAAGGAATGATCTAGTTTGAAAAATGTCAGTAAATTCAAATGATTCTGATAATTGCTGTAATTTTAACGTGAAAATTCAGCTGTTAATGCGTATTTAATTGACTATAAATTGATTCCCTCGTGATTACGATTCTCCACTCTTCTTTCCCACAGAGAAAGAGTGAGTGAATGAAAAAATGAGCAAAAGATCCCGTCACGGAAGCGTGTTATTTTCTTTTTCTCTCATTGTTGAGGGCAATTTAACATTTTGTGGTTCCTCAGGGCCGCACCCGGAAGTGGTGTCTCCAAAGGGGGGCCTTTTCTCTCCTCAATCACTAAACGCCAATTAAACCCCACGATAATGACCACGTGGTGACTATTCTAAAAAATCCTACATGATATTCCAGAAATAACAGTAAAAATTTGAAAAGGAATGGCGGGAAGGATTTCTCTTCGCGGAGAAATGGATTTCTCGTATTGATTGCAGTCAATTTTTTCTTGGGACAATCGATAGATTTTCTTGTATCGAGGCTTGCATTGTCGTGGGGTTTATGGAGAGTGGAGTGGATGAGATAAGAAATGCGTTGAAACGAGTGTCGAGAATAAGTGATAAGGGGTCGTACACCCCGCGACTCGTGAATTTTTGTTTATAATAAATAATAATAAAATGACGGACGAATTTGACAACATGACAGACTGAATTTAATTAGTAGGGTACACTAAATAATTTCTTGGGCTAATACTCACCATCTCTGGACATGCCCAGACGTAGGCACTTTTGTAGCCGGCAGTATTGACACCGGTTTCTGTTTACACGATCTACCACGCAGTTTTTGTTCCTTGGACACTGGTAGTTGACAACTGACGACTGGGATCTCCTGAAGAAACCCTTGCAACCCTCGCAGGTGATTACACCGTAATGCACACCACTGCTTTTGTCGCCGCAAACCTTGCACGGGATTATCTCTATCTGGGCTGTAATCAGAATAATTCAATTGATTTTAATGACATAAAACAATTTATCTCACGATTTTTAGAAATCACTATACCACACGATAAAATGACAATTCACCCTCAACTTCTGACAATTATCAGATTATGAATAATTCACGAAATTTAATTAGGTTATTTAAATTATCATAATTAGTATTCTCCAAAATGGTAATGAATGATGAAGACGAATAATTGAAATTCAGGGATTGAATTAAAAAATATAAATTCAGTGTCAAATCCTTAAAATTAATTAATTCTGGATTTTTTTTTAGTGTCACTTTAATTTCGTGTAATGGGGATAATATTATACGTCATGAGAACTGACGGTTAATTATGAAAACCAATTCTGCCATTATCTCCCCCGAAACTCTTATCACCACTGTCAGATGGAACACCGCGATTAAAACGAAACGAACGACACAGCATATGTATCGATTACACAACAGTCTCGCGTTATTCGTACGTCCATATGTCTGGTAATGCATGTGTATCTCTGGTTGGTTTTTCATCGCCACTTCAGGCTGTAATTAATCGTCTAGATCTGACACTTCTACACACTTCTCGTGGTACTTTTTCCATTGGATACTGATAAACCGTTCGAGAATAATCTCAAAATTTCCCGCAAAAAGTGTTTTAAACTCTCAACAACGACAAATTAAAGTGAAGACGATAAGAATTACAGTTTTTCTTAATTATCGATTTATATCTATAAAACTGTCGATTCAAGGCCGAAGTGTCAGGATTTTTAGCTCGTGGTTCTCCAACAAAAAAAAATTTTTTTTATAATGAATTCTGATTGAAGATTCCGATTAATTACCAATTCAATTGAATATTATTGGGAATTGTTGATAATGAATTTTGGGGAATTTTGGGATGGCCAATTCATTGCGACTTGAATCGTGATTTTCATAGAAAAAAAATCCACTTGTTTCGCGGTAGAAGAAATGGCGGAGGGTGTAGCTTTTAGAGAACTACCTCGTATAGAATTAACTGGACTTCTTGATGATTGTCCTGGAGTGCTGTCTGGTTGATCATAACGCCTTCCATTTATTCCGTCGTTGGGATTTGGGCTCGTGCTGTCTGCACTCCCACTCGGTCGATTAAATCCCGTATAATTTCCCTCCATTTACACTGCGCAATGTCACGTGACATTCGTCCACTTTTAAACATTAAAATACCATCGAGTGATCGGCAATTGTCGATAATCCCTCGAGAATAATACTAGCCAGAATTTTTCCTTTCGCTCATGTCGGTAGAATTTTAAATTGATAATGTGATCTGCGGAGGAGAAATTAAACACCAGAAGCGAATACGTGTATTCCCCAAATTCTGTGTTGAAGTTGGAATTTATTTTTCGGGGAAAATTGTAATTCCGGTGGAACTGTGAATTCTCGAGGAACTTCCTCCTTGGGAATTCACGATGGGAGAATGAAGTCAATGGAAATTAGAGACTTTTGTCTGATTGGTCGAATCCCATTTAAATCCAGATGTCAATTGATTCCCAAAAAATCTAACCCCCTTGATAATTTCGCAACCACTCAAGTCCCGAAGTTCATCAATTTCCCAAACGAATTAAAATAGAGAGTTCCTAAAATAACGAATTCCCTCCCACAAATTGCCAAAAACTTAATGACAAAAATTATTTGAAATTCCATCTAAACAATTTTCAAGATTGAAAATGCAAAAAGAAAAATTTTCGAACGTGTGACTAGATAAAAGGCGACAGTATTCCCCTAGGATTTAGCCCCATGGAGTAGAAATTTTTTTTTTTATAATTCCCCCCCTAATAAATAACGTATCCCCCTGATTCGGGAGCTCTAGCGCCGGTGCTCAGTCCCTCTTGCACCATATACTCAAACATTACATAACTGAGAACGATGAACCCAGAGTACAGTCACCCAACCACACAGCAATCTTCTCTCACCAGCTTGAAACAGCCCAGTGTTATCATGTATCGCATTGCTGTACGCCTGCAGCTGCAGAGTCCCTCCCAAATATTCAAGCGCGTGTCAACCATTTTTTTAACCCCTTTAATAATTTATCACTATAATAACGACCCACCTGATTCCCTATCTCCTTACGTAATAAAAATTCCCCAATCTCAAGAGAAATGTCAACGAATCCATTCACACCCCCCTAATCCCCCTAAACCCCCCAATTCCCCCGATTCCACCAATTCCATCAATTTCTCCAATTTCCATTGATTCCACAAGACAATTCCCCCGCATCCCGATTAATTTTGATAAAAGCCCAATTACTCTGCACTCAATTCCAACATTAGCCAATCGATACCCTAGAAATGAATTTAAATAAAAAATTAAAAAAACACTGAACTCTCGTGACACGTCATTTCCAAGAGTCACTGATTTCAAATTATCACAGAATCACTTTCTCCGCCCGGGGAGTGATAATTCCCGTTCTTTTCTGATAAACTTGTCGTAATCGCAATTAATGCGTTCATTATTACGATTAACACCCACGTCTATTCTCCTGGTTCTCACGTATGATTAGTTCTCATAATTCGGGGTGTAAAAATATTCTCCATGTGTTTATTTCACTCGCACTGATAATATTTCATCGAGAATGTCGGGGATTTTGGGGGTCCGGGTGCTTTCACCGAATCTCTTTCGAATATACATCTCGGAATGAGTTGAAAAATATTCTCGGGCCCGGGCAGAGGAGAAATGTACTTTCCAACTCCCGCACACGCACTCCGACACTTTGTTTTTTTGGATGGAAATTTTTTTTTTTACGTCTCCTCCGGGAGTGAGACCCGGGGATTAGTTCCTCATGCACTTTATCTCTGAGGACTTTGGAGATTTTTAGTTTTGCCCTCGGGAACGCACATCGGACACTCGAGCGTGTAATGAGAAACGGGGGAAGAGTTCCTCGTTACCAACACAAGAACTGTCTGTTGTGGGTAGAATACAGTGGAATGGAGCAATGATAATGTACAGAGATTGATAATAGCGAAAGGTGACGAAAAAGGAATTGGGAAATAATTGCACTTGGATTTTTCGGTAATTTTTCTCAAAATTTTCTCCACAATTTATGGTCCGCCCCGTAGCTTCCGCATTCGATTAATTTCAATTATATTCCATTACTCCACTGTTGAATCATCAACTCCAGGCTCTGTTTACTGAATTTTAAAAATCTCTCCTCGTTCTTTCACTTTTGAAATTTCCTCTGGAACTCTCGCAACCGCTGAATAATTACAAACCGCCCAACAACTTCCGCATTCGATTTACCTCGATAAATTCCATAAAACAATTTTAACAATTTATCCCATAAACTCTCCACAAGTCACACCATAATTCCCAATCCCACGTTTTCCCACAGCCTTCAATAACTAAAATCACGCTGGCCAAAAAACTCAACATGAAAAAAAAAAATAAACGACCCAAAATCGTGTAACGCGCACTTGTATTTTTCTGCGTTGTTTCACTTATCAGAGTTTCCCTGGAACTCATAAATCCGGACCCCCGAATTAGGATTTCCAACCGACAACTTCCGCCTTGCATTAACACCGACCAAAATCATTTTAACAATTTTTTTTTCCTCAACACCACTAAAATCACACCTCAATGATTTTGTTTATTGAATGGGTATAATTTTCCAGCACGTGACATTTTTTTTTTCTTCAATTTATTTTGTTCCCGGAGTAACTGTTAAACGAGATACAAAAGTGATGTGTTTTTTGGGTACCGGCAGTGCGAGAGGTTGGCATCTCACAATATGTCAGGGGAACCCCCACCATCAGGCAAACACCGACGAAGCTGCGGCGGGTCACTGAACTGTGGCTCCAACGCCGATGATGGCCGAGTGCCTCTACTCTCTATCCCCTCCCCCTTCTCATCCCCCCTTTCTTCCCCCCCTCTTCCCTGTTTTCCCCCTCATTCCACCAATTCCCCGCCACCCCCTCGCCCGTTTTCCCCTTTCTCCTGCTCTTTCCCCCCGTTTTCCCCTACCTCCAGCCACCTCAACCCCTCCCACCCCCTCGTGCCATCACCATGGGTTATTCCATGTCTCTCTCTCTTTTCTTTTTTTATCTCCTTTTATCTCTTTCTCCCGTCGCACCCTTTCCCCTCGACTGTTTACCCACCCCTTTTTCACCCTCCCCCGGTAGCTTTCCCGTGCGCCCCCTTCCACCCTCACCATCCCCCTTTTCTTCGACAGGCTCTTTCTGGATGGCAGGGTTTTTTTTTTTTTTATTTCTCTTTCAGTCTCTCTTTATTCTCCATTACCTCCCGCGCCTCGTGTGTCGTGGAGTGATACTAAACGGGAATGGCCGAGGGGGAACGGCACACGCCGATTTAACACGCGGGGTTTTCCGGTGGGGGAGGGGGAAAGGGGTCAGCTGATTTTTCGGGGGAACTTTGGGGGGCGAGGGAGAGGTAATCATCGGGTGGAAAATGGGGAGGAAATGTGGGTAGTTCTGAATTTTTGGGGTTTTTTTTTTATTTAGGGACAGGGGGTGAAATATATACTGGAGGTAGATTTAATATTTTGAATAATATATTTTTTAATGTTAATTAAATTCCGGTTTAATTAAGGGCACGTGAGTGTCCGCTCGAAATAAAAAAACATCACTTGTTTCACCAAAAAAAATAATTAAATTGAAGAAATCCTGAAAATGATCTCAGGATTTCATATTCCGTAAAAAAATCTCTTTTCCGATAACTAACACCTCATATTTTCTCTCGAAATTACCAAGTTCCGAGATAATTGCGTAATAAGCAAATAAATCGAGATCACCTCGCACCGTAATCACTTGACTTTTCTCCTATCAATTACGCAATTACCCGAGTAATTAGTGATTTAGCCGTAGAATGTCTGGCGTCCAAAAGCCATTCCTAAAAAATCGACATCTTTTATGTAATCCCACAGGACAAAAAAAATTGTAGATCAGAATTAGCGACAAAATGGCAGGTCAAATGGCTTAATAAAGTCGAGCTAAAGTTGAATGAACGGAAACTTTATTTTTAAACCGAGATAACAATTACTCGAGATGCAAAAAATTATTGCGTAATAACCCGTCGCGGGGGGTGAGAGGGGGGTGGCTAATTCGATAAAGAAGAGAGGACTTACCGGCATTAGGAAATAATTTTACCGACAGAGTCGATAATAATTCGCGTGAGTAGATACAGACGCCTGGAGTCAGACAATTTCACGGGGAATTTAGCGCAATGGCAGATTTATTTAGATTAATTTATGCAGGGGATAGATCCCCCCATGAGACTCTTCAAAAATTAATTCATTCTTTTCGGAGATTAAATGGCCTTGCGATTTAAGACAACTCATTTCTTCCAACGATTTTTCACGATTGCATAATTCAACTCGCAATACAACCGAGGTTGCCAACCTGTCTTACGTATGTACGCGTAATGCTCTATAAATACCACGACAAAATAAATAATTGTGCAGTGGCTGTGGATTGAGTTCATATACCGGCATGCGTACCTTTGGTGTAATAATAAAATTGCGGTGGATGGGAGGCGCGTGCGTATCGATCACCAATTGAAAGTAGTGAACGGGAGTTCTGAATGTGCGATTGAGCGGGAAAAGTCGTAGACCGGTGATTTGACATTGGACTTAATAGTTTCGATAAATCAGGGGCGAACTCCAGGGGCTGGAATTTATATCCACCTGTTTTTTTATCTATTTCATTTTTATAATCATTCTCTTTGGAATAATTGAAAAGGGTTGTGTCATCGATTTATTTTGAAAATTATTTTTTATATTATTTATTTGGAATAATTAAAAAGGGTTGTGTCATCGAATCCATTTTTTCTCCTACTTTTGGACTGGAAATAAAAACCAAATGCGTAATTACTTGAGAATTAAAAGGACTGACTGATCGACGAATCTGATAAAAAATCATATACAGATGGTGGGGAAAAAAAAATTGAATTTAAATTGACTGTGTGGAATATTGTAACCCATTGAAATTCGAAATTTCTCGGCAGCGATATTCGAATCCGTCACGTAATTGTTTTTCTGGTGAACGAAAGATTGAATAAACGGAGAAAGCTGGAGGAATGACGAGGGGAAAGCCGATGACGATTATATTCCGAAACGGTTGAGTCATATGTTAATTCGAAACAATGAATATCATCGTCGTGATTAAAATAATTCATTGTTTTTTTTTTTCGTTCGTTGCTTCGTTATGACTCAAAAATGAAAGTAACAAGAGCAAAGTAACGAGCCGGAAGTAGCGGTTTTACGCCTCCATGGAGAATCCACACGGAGAGATGATTTATTTCAATGACATGAGCAATTTTGTTTCATTAATTCTGCATCAATCAATTTATTGAACAGTTGCCCGTCTGATTTCATTGAAAATCCAATTAAAAGCCGACACATAAAACCGTATTAAATCACAATCAGCTGTTAATTACTATATCGTGATTCAAATAAGTCATTAATTCGAATTTTAATTGAAAACGAGAGGAATAAAATGGCTACTTCACCGGGGAATAAACATTGAGTATTAAAAAATCCTGAATTAATTATGGGTTTGTTCAATTAATTAAAAAGGGACTCGCATTATCGTCTAGTTTTTCATGAATTTTATTTTTCATCATCATGGATTAATTTATTCATTTTAAATTCATTTCTCTCTTTTTTGTTTTGTTAATTAAGCCATATGTTATGTTTATGAGTTATTCAATCAAATATCAAGATGTTCAAATAATCTGAGAATTAATGAAATAGTTTAATTATTTTTATTGTAATTACTGTGGTTATGGAAATTTTCATTTTCATGAAAAATTTATTTTTTCAAATTTCGCTGCCGCGAAAAATTTGATGGGCAATTGGGTTTAAACAATTTCGATATTTTTTTGAGTGTTTTGTCAACATCAACAAAGAGTTTAATGTTAAATCGCGAAAGATTGAAATGTGGGTCATGCCTTGAGGTGAGTCTTCGATCCAAGTAGGTAAAGTCAATCGATAACGAGATTGTCGGCGTTCTCATCGCGCCAACATTTGTCCCGGATCGGGAGGAGGGGAAAATAAAACCGTATAATACCCGACTAGGCACCAAATCGACAATTCCAGAATGGAGAAAATGAAAATTCCGGGGGAAAAATTCCTCACCGCTTCCCCCACCGATTACTCATCATAAACTTCTGATCGAGTGCAAATGAATTTCAGCGATTTTCATTATTTATTATCACGTCTTCGGCTGTTGGCAGGAATTTTTTAATGAGACAGTCAAATAATCCCATTCTCAATCCACTACCTAGAAAATTTATAATAATAATAAATAATTATAACATAAATATAGCAAGTCTATATTTTTTTTAATTATTAAATGAATGAATTGGGAAATTCGAATTGGATTTTTTGCTGATGAAAAGTTGATGAAAATTTACGAGAATTAATTCTTCAAATGGAGTAGTAAAAGAAGTTATCGAAATCGCGCGACCAGATGTCGTAATACATTTGCGACATCTCATCTCCAAGGAGTACTTATAAACCGATCATCCGGCCAAGATCCAAGATCGTCTCCTCGGCATTTCAGTGACACCAGCTGGGGGTTAAACACCACCTCCGAGTAATTCGTGCCGCGTTACGCGAATAAACATGTACCACTCCCAATCACTCTCATTGCGTCCCAATTCCCCGATAAATATTTCATCGAATCGCGCACTATGACCTTGAAGATCAATCGATCTTGAGCGTTAAAAAAAAAATTCTCCAATCAATCGATCTTCTCCTCATAAATTTCCACCTGTTTTTGCGGAATCATTAGTCACGCAATTTAACCACCGGAACTTGAGATACTCCAGATATCTTTATTCGAATCGATGGGGATTCGCTCGTAAATCAAATGCCCCCCTCTTTTTCCCCCGCGATAATTACTCCCCCCCCAATTTTTTTTGCGAAAGGAAATTAAAAAAAAACGTCTGTACCATGTAATCTCGTCTATTCTTGGCCAACAAACGGGGATTTCCCCTAAAACTTTTCATCGGCGAACGGCAAAAGGTTTTCATCACTTCCGGTATGGGGGTGCCATCTCCATTCATTTTTTGAGGTTAAAAAATAGGTGAAATAGGCTCGAGATGATGGCATCGCGGGTGGGGTGATGAAGAAAAAAAATGGTGACATTTCATTGCGGTGCACTGGTCAATAGAGGAGACCTCTCACGATGGAGAAGTGTTTCTCGTCTCGTTGGCGGTTTTATACACACGATCCCCGGAAGGTTAGTAACACGTCGAACCGGTGAACGACCGAGATGTGTTAGTGCGCATGCGCTTACACTCAGCTGACCCAGATGCGCAATGTGACTGGTCATTCGGGTGTTTCCGTTGGTTCTTCGGGTGTCAACGCCGGGTATAAATGAAAATGCCGGGTTGCGCGAACGCCGCACGGCTGACCCACATCCCATCGCGTCACTTCGGACACCGGTAAATTCAGCAAAAACACCGGCTGCACTTGGAGAAAATATTTATTTCCTTCGACAATTTAAATGTTTGGAAATTTCTCAAAATTTCCTTCACACGAAATTTTTTGATGAGGAATTACTCGATTTTTTGAATGACTCGTTCTGCAGAAAAATCGGGATAATCCACAATTCTTTGAAAATTCTCCATGAAATCGTGAAGATTTAAAATTACCAAGAACTTTCCCTTTTTGATAGTCGAGGAATTCCTCACGGCTGGTTGACTTTTATTTAAATAAATATAATTGATTTAAATAAAATTTAAATTTTTGAATTATAATTTAAATTAATTTATTCGATTAATTTTCACGATAAAAAGATGAAAAACT